CGAGATGAAGTAAAAGTGTGTATATACCAAATCTCAAGCTTTCATGGCGTGTCTTTGAATGTGATGTGGGATGAAAAGAGACGCAGCTTTAAAATAACACTTGAGTAAATTGTAGGCACCTCCAGGAAGAATGTTATTGTGGGTGAGACAGCTGTCATTTTTGTGAGTACCATTTCAAAGTTAAGGGCGATTGACAGATTGTGATTATTCTGAGAAATTTTTGTAGATATTTTCTTGGCAGTTATTGTGAAGGCAAACTACTAACATAATTTGTGCAGTAATAAAATTCAAGCACATTAGTTACTTTTGAAACAGGGTCTCTCTACGTTGCTCTGGCTGTCCTAGAATTCTCACTGTAGAACAGGCTGTTTGAAAACTCACAGAGCTCTACCTGCCTCCTCCTCCTCCGCAGTGTTGGGATTAAAAGTGTGTGCACCACCATGTGCAGCCAAAGTTCAAGATTTTTAAGTGGGAATTTTGGAAAACTTGCGTTCATCTTTCGCTGTGTAACTTTTTTTCCCCCTGGTATTTAAAGATTTGATAAAATTAGTAGTGATATTAACAGTCAAGACTTAAAAAGATAAGAATAAAGGAACGTTTGTGATTTACAGGGCTCTCAGTTAACTCGTGGAATTAAAAATTTCCAGATGTGACAATGCTACAACCTCTACAGTTAAAGATCTACTCAAGGGCCAGGTGGACAGCTGGATTTTCAGGGGATAACGGGTAGCTGACTAAGAGCGCAGAATCCATGTTGTAGCTAACTCGAGGTTACCTTCTGTCAGGTTTTATAGTCTATGAAAGATGAGTGCCCAGAAGGCCAGGAGATGGCTACTAAAGCGCTTCTCTGTGTTCACGTGCACATGTCTAGCAGGCCAGCTGTGTTGCTTCTTCAGTTTTACATAGTTTGGGTAGAGAGCACAACATGAGATTCAGTGCAGAAGCTACATGGATTAGTGCAGAGTATGAGTATGGGCATCAAAGACCTTTGCAATGTAAAGTAAGTTCTGGTCTTGTGACTAAGTTTTTGAAAAACGTAGCAATTTCTCATAAAAAAAAATTTATATGCCAGGCTGGAGAGATGGCTCAGCTGTTGAAGGCTAGGCTCATAACCAAAAATATAAAAAAAATTTCTATGTAAACATGGAGTATGTTATGTATAAGCAGAACAGTTTTAAGTAAATTAACATATACTTAACTTTTTTTTTTCCTCTTAATTTCAGAATGCAGAATACAGGTAGATGTAATCTACATAAAAAAAAAAAATGGATTCAGAATCCTCCAGTCATAAAGTCCAGAGACCCAAGTGTTTAAAAATTGTGGGGCTGGAGTAAGTGAGTAGATGGTAGCATGTGTGAATACAGCAATGTGGGTTCATGAAAGACAGAGTCCTCTGTCCAGGTGGGCATGCCCAGGTGAGCAGCTGGCTATAGGCATTTGTAGCTTGGAGCTTAGGAACGATGTTGTGAAGACAGTAATTTGACAGGGTTCACATTTGGATAGTATTCAGAGTTCCTGGATTTACTGAGAGCTTCCAGACTGTGGCCATCTCTTATGCCTTATTAAACAAAACCAAAGCCATAGGCTAATTTCAGGAGATAATACAGTTTTAACTGAAGTTCCCAGTGTTGGAATAAGCTGGCATTTAAAGGTAAAGAGTAATGGCAGCTGTAGCAGAAGAGGAGAGAGAGTTTGGGATCACGGGAGACTTGGTGGAGGCCACACTGCTTGGTCAGGAGGGTGCAATGCCATTGGGGAGGTTTCCTTATCTTGCTGAAGGTCATCTTGCCCGTTATGTGGATTTGCAGTAGTTTGTGAGCTGGACTTCTTGCTTGTTATATTATCTTTCAAACATGGTAAACTTCTGTTTACTTATTTGGTTTTGGAAACAGAGTCTCACTGTGTAGCCTTGGCTGATTTGGAACTCACTGTGTAGACCAGACTGCAGGTCCTCCCGCCTCTGTCTCCAGAGTGCTGTGATCCCACATCTTGGCTTGATAGTGAAATTCTTTCCTGTCTCGAAGCAACCCTTTGCTCTGACTGACAGCAATCCTCCATCCTCACCGACCTTAATTTTAAATTACATACAGGATGTGCTGTGTTTTTGTTTTGTATTTGGATATTTTGTTTTCTTTCTCTGACTTGCATTTAAACCTTGTTAATTTTTCCTGCTCATTATTTAAAATGTAACTCATTGCGCATCTTCTATTAACAGTGGTTTCCTTTTTGGTTTAAAGATTAACTACAAATTAGTTGGATTTGATGATTTTTTTTGTTGTTGTTGTTGTTAACATACTTAATTAGTATCAATGATCACTTGATGTCTTTGTGATAAGCACATTATATATTCATTCATTAAATATCCATTCAGCTACCTTTTTAATGCAGACATTGAGCCAAGCATTATAAATGCAGTATAGGCAGCATAGGCATCTCAAACATGGACTTTGTAATCTAGATCAAAAGTATGTTAAATATATTTTGCATATCAAAATGCGCTTTCCTTCAATTATGCAGAGTTAGTAAAAATACGCAGTAGCTGGGGAGATGACTAAGTGGTGAGGCCCTTACCACACACGTGTGAAGACCCAAATTCAGATTCCCAGAACTCAGATAACCCCAGAGGTCTCACAGCAAGAAAGGAGAGAAACGACTAGATAATCTCTGGCTAACTTGGCAAACACCTTGTCTCAAACAAGATAGACGGGAGAGCCACACCCAAGGTTGACCTCTAATCTCCATGGACTTGACGTGGTACACATGTACCCAAGTGCATAGACAGGAACATGCATATACATACACAGTGAACACAATTATGATAAAGTACCCAGTGACACAGTGAACCATGCTCTGTGTATATGAGGAAGGAAAATTACATCACCTTTTGTTCTTTTTTGCTAGGATGCCAACGCTTAACATTTCAGCTATGTATTTATTTTCAGGTAATCTGCTGTTTGTAGCAGATTATTTGATTTGGTCTCTTCGTGTTTCTCAGAGTCCTGCATTCCTTTGCCTTGGCTTCATTCTCTCCTGCTTGTGTTTACTTAATTGTTGTCATGTGTCAGTGTGTGCGGTAAAAACACTTTATTGTAACTCTCAGAGAGAATTTACCATAACAGAAAATGTTTTGTAGAGGGTTTTGACAAAGAGGTGTTTCTTTGTGAGGGTGTCTTTAGACCACACAATGTGCAATGCTGATTTCATTGCTGGGTTTCATCTTTACTCTTTTCTTTTCCACCTCAAATCCAATAATATGCACCATCAAAGCCAACCTCATGAACCAAGTAGGTCAAGGCACATATTAGCAATGAACAGCTTTGGGCTGGAGAAATAGCTCAGTGGTTAAGAGCACGGGTTGCTCTTCCAGAGGACCTGAGTTCAATTCCCAGCACTCTTACAGCAGCTCGCTCCACCTATAACTCCAATCCAGGGGATCCCAGGGGATACCTTCTTCTGGCTTCAATGGGCACTGTACACATGTGGTGTACTCACATATGTGCAGGAAAATATCCAGACGTAGAAAAGAAAACTTAAAGTAAAGCAGCTAATGTTTTGCTTAATGATCAGAGACTATAAAACTATTGATGTCTTTCCCCTAAGATGAAAAAGATCTGCCTGCATTTATGTTCATTATACTGCAAGGTATGGCCATTGCAACAGGGCACAAAAATATATTTCAAAAGCCATTTAGACTAATTAAATGGGTTACACATTTATGTGGTTTTATTCAATGCAGTTAGTTTCAGTGCACAGAATAAATTTAGAAAACTGAATGAAAATATTCAACTTTTGCAATGTAATGAAAATTACTTAGGAAATAATCTAGAGAAAGTTGTTAAAAAAAAAAAAAAAAACAACCCAGTGTATTGAAATTGAAAATCAGTTTTGCAAGAAATTAAATATTTCATGCCCACAAGTTTGAAGGCTTAATTACTGTTATTCTTAAATTCAGCTAAAGAATTATTACATCTCAGTCACAAACACTTTTTAAAATGGAATCAGACGGATTTTGAAATTAATATTAAAGTAATACATGTAATTAATCAGAATAAAGGCTTTTATTTTGATATGTGTTTTGAGACCAGTTCTTATTTTATAATTTTGTAGCTCAGTCTGGCCTGGAACTCAGTGATTTCCCTGCCTCAGCTCCCCAAGTCCTAGGATTCACAGATGTGCAACTCCATGACAGGCTCTCAAGGTTTTGTAGCAAACTAGGTATGATGGCACACACCCTTGATCCTGGCATTCTGGAGGCAGAGGCAGGCGGGTCTCTTTCATTCTGAGGTCAGCCTGATCTATATAGCAAGTTCTGGAACAGCCAAGGCTATGTAGAGACCCTGTATCAACCCCCCCCATTCTTTTATATAATGCATTGTTAGTTAATGCTGTATTTCTGTATTCTGTATGGCACTTGCTACACACATAGTGCATTGAAGTACCGGGAGGTTAGGTACTCAGTGACGGGGGAGCATAGATAAATGTGAGTTGGAAGCCAGCCAGGTCTACAGAGCTAGTTCCAGGACAGGTTCTAAAGCCTACAAAGAGAAACAAAACAAAACAAACAAGCAAAACTACAATTGGGTATCCATAAGGACAATTTTTTTTTTTTGCAATATATAAATATAATTCTAGATCATTTAGCAGTCTAAACAATAAATCTGACATTGGAAAATTCTGTTAAGGGAACCTACATTAGGGAACTAATTCATAAGTAGTTTATAAGGCATTCATCAGAGAGAAGACAAGAAGAAAGAAGTCATCTCGAGTGTGGGATATTTTACACCCATGCTGCCTTTTTTGGAGAAGAGGAAATAGTGTGTGATTATGTGAACTAAACAGAGTTTGGATTTAGCAAGTGTCAGAAATAGAAGCAGAGGGTGTCTTAACGGATCTGAAGCATCGAGCAGATCTGTCCCACATGGGTGTGCCTGTCAGGCCTGTGGAAGTGGAGTGAATTGGTAATGACTGCGTTATCTAAATTCCGACTTTACATTTTGCAGGATTCTAGAGTCCCTGTTGAGTCAGACAATGGATGAGCAACCGCAAGGGCCACCTGTTCCTCAGTTCCAGCCACAGGTAATTTAATTCAGTGGGATGAGTGTATCTTTCTACTGACTATGTGTGAGTAAATTGACAGCAGCAATAAAGTAGCTGCAAAAATGTTCATTTCTGTTTCCCAAGCTATAGGGGTAATTACTGGCTTCTAAGTGTTTTTACAATGCTTACTCTTTATATAGAACATGATAGGAGGCCACCCACCTCTAGCTTATGATTTAATTTCACTGGCTTCTTGGCTTTGAGGGTCACAGCTAGACCTAAGGAGGAAGGAAAAGGCACGTTCGGGAATTTCTCTGCATTTTATAGGTTACAGATTCCAGTGGGTGGCGGTGGTGGAGAGTCCCGTCTGCAGGATTCCTATCTCTGCATTTTGTACCCACTTCTGCTTTGGCTGGCTTCTCTTGACTCGCATTACTGTATCTGTCTCTCTGGAAATGTTGGCTCTCTTGTTATGTTACTCCTTATGTCCTGTCATGCAAAATGAGGCAGAGAGGGTGTTTTGGTAAGACATTGTCTATTTTATTGAAATTCAACTAAAGAGTTTCCCGGCATTTGTTGTAAGGCATCCTACAGAGAGAGCCCCATATGGAATGGCTTCCTTTTTTGGTGGCAGCCTCTCGTCATGATTTTTCACCCAGGCTGCTTCTCAGCCTGGTATTTGAGAGGTCTTTTACAACAGGCCTTATATATGTGCTGCCGGCTGGCTTTCCCTCTGTTTTGGTTGGCGGATATTCTCAGCGTAGAGGACTCTTTCAGCTGAAATCTGGAGTGGCGTGGGTTTGGGCTAGTGGTAAGAGCGGTAAAGAGAAGTCTCCTCAGACTCTTCTGTGCAGCATGCGCTGAATCTCAAAGCTACTATGTGCGGTGCCCATATTGGTCTCCAAACTTGCCGAATCTGTGGTTTCCATTTGTTTTAATGCATCTGTTGACTTCTCCCAGAAAGCATAGTTCAGAAATGCTACCTACAGAAGGCTTGTCTTCTTGTTTCTGTGAAGTCAGTTGTTTTCATTCAACCCTCCTTCCTGCTCTCTAGTTTTAAAAGCTGGATCCATCCTTCCAGGACCATCTAAAACAACATGCTGCCACCAGCTTGTCAGATCTTCCGGTCTTCCCTGGAAACTTGATGGTTGTCCTCAATCTTCATCCCGTGTTTCCTGTATCTTTGTTATCTTTCTTTCCCTTTCTTATGCGGACATGTCCCTTGTCTTCTTATTAAGATAAACTCTTGTGGGGAAGGATACATCACTTTGGACACCCTGTGGAACTCTACTTTTTACACGTAGCAGGGCTCCGTTAGCTATAGAGTTGAAACCCATCAGCTATCCTTCATAGGACCATGTTTAAATCGGTTCTTAATATACTCTTACATTGCAATTCTTCTGTTCTGTGTACTTGAATTTTATCTGTCGACAGATGCCATTTAGAAGAAGGTCACATTTCGCTTTAAGGACTGGCTTTATCCAGTCTACCTGTAACTTTATAATGGTCTTATGATCAAGATTGTTATAAGCAAACTGTATTAGATACGCCCAGCTCAATGTCATTTCCCATCTCCGGCGAGACACCGTAGCTTCGTATTACACCATTCCTAGCAAAGACACTAGAACGGACACCTCTAAAAATTAGGCAGCTCATGTTGTGATTTTGAAGTTTACAGTTGGCCCCCTGCTGACTCACCAACCAAGGAAAGTCAGGGAGGCAGTAGGAAACAGAAATGAAAGTAAGTCTTTTCTTACAAGACGCTAGGCTGCCACACAGTTTAAATTTCAAAAATCATAGAAACGGTTCTGCATTTATTTTCACACGGTTCCTGCTGCTGCCCCTGTATGGTTGGAGCGCTTTCCCTGTTGGAAGCAGGCAAGTGTCATGCCAGGCTCTGGCTGCCTTGTGGCATGCGTGGGGTGGGGGGAGCAGATCTTTGCTCTTTCCTCTCCTCTGCCTTCAGATTGGTGGTGCGAGATGACGAGAGAAGAGCTGGTGGACATTAGTACTGATTAGGTCTTTGAGAAATGTCCCTGCTCGAGGTGGCATTTTAAGAGACTGGGAAGGGCAGCCTGTGCCCAGGGTTGACAGTCTTCTTTGTTTTGATCCACACCATTGGCCTGAATAACGGGGGTGATATGGCAACATATGGTTAGCCAGGCGACTCCTTTGCTTTTGTGATGCTAATGGAAGTGTGGGACAGAGACAGAAACCTAAAGAGGCTGGCTGTCTTGTCTTTCTCCTCGGTGTGAGATGAGCCTATAAACCCATACACAGCCTATAATGTGTGCTGTCATTTTTACTACAGCGTGAGTCCCTCTGCGTTGAAGGGTTGGAATGTGGAATTTATGTGTTCTATTTATTTGTTTGTTTGCTTGCTTATTTTTGCATTGCTGCTGTTCTCATGAAGCTAGGGCAAATTTTTTTTTTATTAGTATTCTGGCTCTTTCTTCCTTGATTCTGCCCACATACTACCATCAAGGGAGCAGTGAGTGCTTGATTCTCCCGTGTTTCGTCACTCAAGCCGCTACACGTACAACAGTAGATTTTCCTTTCCCTCCATTAATTCAGACTGTATAAATGGTGGGGACAGTAAAAGTTAAAATAGTAGAGGAAGACTAATTTTAAACAATGACATTTTACATTTCCTTTTCAGTGGAGGTTTGTGACAATGTGTGGCTATATTCATTTTTAGTATTTTTGAGGGAGGAGGGTTGTGTTGCATTATCTATTTTATTAATTTTAAAATCAATTATATAAAAGCTATCAGAGTGCAATTGTGAGAATTTCTAAGAAGATTAATTTTAACAATGATCAGAGGTTTGAGTTCTGGGGGGGCGGTTTCTGCTTTTATTTTACAATTTGAGATATTGTGCTATTTGGGCTGTCTGTGACAGAGAACATGTACCAGAACGGATTCTAGAAAACAGCCTGGACTTTTACAGTTTGCAGACCATGAGGACACTATTTTAGAGTCGTAAACCTCAAGGTGAGGCAGCCATTGTTTCAAGCTTCCTGGCAGGAAGCTAGCATTCATTTAGGATTTTGAATTTGTGAACAGGGTCAAGTGTACCTTGTTGCATGTCCTGGGTCTGACAAACATTGACTGTGGGCAGGAGGAAGGTAGCCAGCCCCCTGGTGGCTTGAAGCATGGATCACTGTGTGCTTATTCTTCGGGAAGCCTTTATAGTAATGTAGGCAATGTGGACTCCTCACAGGCATTCACTTCACGTAGATTTTATGGATGTAGATGGCATGGGGCGGGGCGGGGGTAAACTGCAACAGCGCCTTTGAGGAAAGGCAGGCTTGCCATAGTTGAGCTTCACAGCCTGATCCTTTAGTAAAGCCTGAGGCTTCTCAGTACTCACATCCCTAGTCTTGAGGCTTCCCAAGCTCTCCCACCTTCTAGTTCGTCTCTCCTCCAACCCCAAGAGTATCAGCCCCTGACCTCACTCTTGGTTAACATGTCTGTCCTGGAGGTCACACATTTTCCAGCTGGGATTTGTGCACAGATCGTCTGCCTGTAGTTGATGGGATGAACCTCTACCACCCTGTCCTCATCTGCCGAAATTCCCAATAGAGCCAGGTCCTGTGCTGTCCCCTACTCAGTGTAGACTTTCCTAGACAGTGGCGTTTATATTCATGTCCCTTCTTCCTTCCTTCCTTCTTTGCTTCTTCCTTTCTTTCATCCTTCCTTCCTTTCATTCTTCTTCCGTCCGTCCGTCCATCCATCCTTTCTTCCTCCTCCCTCCCTCCCTCCCTCCCTTCCTTCCTTTTTCCTTAAATTTACCCTGTGTGAACACCTCCCTTCTCATCTTCGGACTTGCTCAGGCTTCATCTCACCAACTGCATTGGGGAATAATTGAAAATAGCTATTCCTAGAAATCCTTCCTTCTCCTGGCTCCCACATACCTTGTTTGTTTTCCCTCTTGTTTTACAGGCCCTTCTTTGCCCTGTGTCTCCTCACCTCCAGAACATCTTAATAAGGAATTCCCCTTAAGGCTTAGTTCATATGTCGCCTTTTTGCCCATTTATATTCCTTAACTGGACTCTCTTCTATTTTTCCAATTTCATGCATGTGGCTCTCAGAGTCATCTCAGTCTAGAATTATGCTTCTCCTAAACTCACATCCCCGACGGCCGTCCCGATACCGAATTGTCCATCATAACCATAGTGGTCTCCAGCTGATCTCTTCAGTATTTGCCTCCTACCTGTCCTACCCCTTGCCCTGTGAATCCCAGTTACTGGTTGGTTCATGTTTCTTGCAACTGATGCTGAAATATCCCTGGCATCTTCCTTTTCCTCCCGGGAAACACTAGCTCTGTCTCTAAAACATTCTTAGAACTGGGAGATGTGTCCACCTCTTCCATCCCTCCACCAAGCCAGAGGCTTCTGCTGTGTTGTAATAGCTTCCTTGTTGATCTTGCCTTCCCCCTACCCTTCCATCTTGCCCAGCGTAGCGTCCAGTCACTGCTATGAAATGGCAGTCAGACTGTGCGCGTTTGATACTTCCCTGTGATTTCCCATTCGCTCACTCATCATTTTTAAGTATATATCCAGGTATACTTGAAGTGGTGTGTGTGTGTGTGTGTGTGTGTGTGTGTGTGTGTGTGTGTGTGTGTGTGTGTGTGACCTTCTTTAAACACTAAGTGAAAACTGAACCCTCCTAACTACGTGATACACCTTTCTTGGCATATTTTTTTTTTTCCCCATGAAATTCTTGGTAAACTGTGTTGATTTTGTTAATCTTTGTTTTATCACTGTTAATTCTGCTCATTGTTTTTCTTGTTTTAGACTATAAACTGTATCGCTAGTCTGACTGACACACAGTAGCCACCCAGTAAATATTTTTGAATACATATAAACTTGGTGTCAAATCAGGCCATCTTTTTTCTTTTCAAAACACACACACACACACACACACACACACACATATACATATATATATATATATGTATACACACATATATATATATATATATATATATATATATATATAAGTATCTTCAGAACTTCCCACATTATATATGGAAATT